ATTCATCAAACATTCTGGCTAAGTTCTTCCTACAAGCTTGGGCCTGGCATCTTCTCAACCTCAGCCCCATGGAGGCAGCTGTTTTTCTAGACTCAAATCAATTGATGTCCTTGAGACTTCTTCCTAAGTCATTAGTGAAAAAGTTTAATTGTATGCTGTTGGCTTTTTCTTGACTGTGTTGTGGAGATGATTACTGTTAAGTCTCTGAAAATGAAAGCTGGAAAGTTCTGTGTCTATTTTCTAGGTGTACATGTTGTTTTCTCATTGTTATAGTGTTGTTTTATCATAGATCACTTTATTTTAATGTTTACAAATGTCTTCAGTTTCTATCGCCGTGATTAAACACCATGACCAAAAGCAACTTGAAGAAGAAAGGGTATATTTCAGTTTATATGTCCTGATCACAGCCTATCATGAAGGGAAGTGAAGGCAAGAACTCAAAGCAGGAACCTGGAGAAAAACCTAAAGCATGGGCCATAAAAGAGTGCTGCTCATTGCCTTTGTCTCTCTAGATTTGCTCAGCCTGTTTCCTTGTACAACCTAGGACCACCTACACATTGGTGGCACTTCTCATGGTGTGTTTGGCTCTCTGACATCAATCATAAACCAAGAAAATGTCCCACAAACTTGCCTACAGATCAATATTATGAAGGCATTTTCTTAAATGTGATTCCTTCTTATCAGATATGTCTAAGTTTGTATCAAGCTGAAAAAAAATCAACCAGGACTTTGGATATATTGATCTTAATCTGTATGGTCTGAGGTTTTCAAAGTACACTGGGAAGTTTTCACCTATATTTAACTTATGAATATGCGGACATGTCATTTTCTCTACAGGAATTGATGACATTGTGGGGGACATCTTTAAGTTCCTACCTCTTGCTGTGAGATTTTTGCCTCATTTTCAGTTCATCTCCATTCCATTCCCCTCCTTATAACAGACTGTATCTCTTATGTTTTCCCTTAGTATTTTCTGAATCCCTTCATCAATCAGTTATGCTCACATCTCTCCATCAAAATAGCCCTCTCTCTACCCAGTCAGTGGCCCTGCTATTTGAGAAAGAGCAGTTCAGTGGAACAATGAAAATATTACATTGGCTGCTTCTTTATTCCTGTCTCCAGCTTCCCTCATTACCTTTTAAGCTTTTTTTTTCAAGAATCCCTATTTATCCCCCTAAAAATCTTTGTGTCTTATGACACAAAGTGAACTTATACATTATATGGACTTAGCTATTAGCCAATGTTTCCAAATATTATTCAAGCCTGTCTCTCTCTTGAGAACCTATGTTCATGTGTGTTCAAGCATGTTCTAATTGGAACAACATGCTTAAATATCAAAATTCACATCTTTGACTAAATGTTGCCTTGCTTATTCTCCAGAAAGTTTATTGATTCAGAGTTTCCTAGGTATCTAAAACATTCCTATTTCTCACAATTTCTACTCTACTATCACACCAAATTCGGGTACCAAAACCAGTAAGTCTATTCACCAATTTCCTTTGAAATTATGGCTCTCTTTTCTAACCAGATATTTCCGTGTTGGCATAAATTCTGCTTTTGTTTTTCTGAACTACTAAATCACCTATAAGTAAGGTGATTTCTTTATCATTATCATTTCTCAGGCACTTGGTCAACTTTCTACCATTCAAATATGCAGTATGTTTGACATGGTTTATTTACATTCTTTCCATCTAGTCTGCTTTATAGGGTTTTCTAGTACCTAATCACTGAGCGTTACATACTTTTTGTTTGGAAGCAATTCTTATTTCTTAAAAATAGAAAATAAAATTAAACTACCATCAAGACAATATTAAAGAAGAAACTAAGTCATCATGTTGAGCGCTAAGACATGTTTTGTGAACTCTGTGTGAGTAGGGAGGGATAAGGCAAAGGAGTGAACCTGGAGGTGGCTGCCCTAGATTTAGGATAGGAGGCAGTGCATTAAAGTGTTTATGCTCTCATGAGCCTCTCCTCGCTTTGGGGTTTTAAGTTCTAGGGTGGAGAAAAACTCCCCTATCCTTGAATCTGGTCTCACACCCCACTCTTGTTATTCTTCCAATTACAGCTTTAGAGAAATCCAGAATACCCGACTAGGTATGTTCACATAACAGAAAGTGAAAGAGACTGGTGTTGGTGGTGTGCCTTTAATCCCAGCACTCATGAGGCAAAGGCAGTTGGATCTCTGTGAGTTCCAGGCCAGCCTGTCCTATAGAGAGAGTTCCAGGACAGGCTTTAAAGCTACAGAGAAAGCCTGTCTCAAAAAAAAAAAAAAAAAAAGAAAGAAAGAAAGAAAGAAAGAAAGAAAGAAAAGAAAAGAAAGAAAGTGAGCACATCTCACTTCATCAAGCTCAGTTCTATTGCCCTTTCCTGTCCTAGAATAAATAGCAGGGCTCTGTCTCTCTATACATATGGCACACTGTTCAATATATCTGAATTATATCATTTAATCACAGCCTGAGTACCCTTACTATACCTTTTGAATGTAATCACTGTAAGACTGGATTCTTCTATTCTTTCTTATCTTTTTGCAATTTTTTTTTTTACAATTTCAGTCCTTTTTAAAACCTTTCAAATGTACCTTTTCTTTTTTTTTCAGATTTTTTATTTGAATTAGAAACAAGATTGTTTTACATGACAATCCCAGTTCCCTTCTCCCTCCTGTCTTCTTCAAACATTTCTCAAACATGACAAGGCTATGTTAATGTAAGACAGTGTGGTAGAAGGGTGTTTTGTGAAACATACCACAACAGCTAAATACATGATTTTTGCAATCATGTCTTGTGCCCATTGTTTACCTTCAGCACTATATCTTGACGAGAAGATGTCACTTGGTCTGTCTGTCAATAATGAATGATTGGCACCACACTGCAAACTTTTAATGTTGAAGACATTCATATTGCCCCTTCACTGTGTAATGTCTGTGTGGTCAGTCACTTCCTAACTAATCCTGGTGTCTGTTCATGACTTCATGAGCATGTCAGAGTTTCATTTTAATGTGAAGTATGTAAAATATTTAACAGTGCTTATTACAAGGTCTATGAGAAATGTTGTTCAATTAAATGTAACTTGAAATATAGCTACCCATTATTTAGCCTCTGCTGTGGGAGCAGTAGAGAAGCAATAGAAGTTTCCAACTGTTGTGTAATACAACTCTGCATTTTATTCATTGTTCTTCTGAGTAGCTCTAAAAGTAGAAGAGCTAGACTGAAGAGTCACTATGTCTGGTCATACACAATATGTATGTATGTGTATGTATTTATGCACTGTTTTCACTTGCTGCATGTGTTTCCAGTAGATGGCACACTCAAATGGGACCATGGCAACAAGAGCTCAGAAGTGTCTACCTCCCTCTTCTCCCTTCTCTCTGCATTACACAAGTGCATGTGTACCTGGGTTAGCATTTGTTTTATTAATTATTCACATTCACTGTGCTGAGTGGCTATTTTATCAAGGATTTGCATCACCTTGTGTGGGTCTTTCAAACTTTTAAAATGACTGATCAGGATTAAGGGTTGAGTATTTAGTTAAAATAATGTCATGAGGTTGAGAAGATCCTTGTACCCAAGTGCCACAGAATTTTCAGCTCTTTGAGAGATTATGCAATGAATAGGTGTGTGTTTATCAGGAAAGAGTTATAAATTTAATAGGCAAAAAGAAATTAGAAAGAATTGTCTTAATTCAAAAATAATTTTGAAATTGATGGTTATGATCTAATTGATGGTAAACAGTCTTTACCTTAGGCGATAGTTTCTTCCTTATACCATTATGAACCAATATGCATTTATCTCTAGCCATTGTGTAATATTTTCTAAAGATTCATGTTGCTTTCTGCATGTAATTTTTTGCCAGCTGATTTATAAAAAGTGCAGATGAATCTTAAATGCAGCCACTTTGTCAAGAACAGCAGAATGTGGGATTGTTGATTTGTGGGTTTTGAGGTCACATCAGTATTCTAAACCAAACTTGTTGGCTGCCATCTCATTAAACAGTACTGTGTAGACATTTAATGATTTTTGCACATTTTGATTCAGCTGGTAACTTGATTTAAAACAACATTGATTTTTTTCAATTCATTCTTGGTCATGTATATCAGCATGAATTTGTAACTATCTATATAACAGGATATTAAATGGGGGGTCTTTTTCAGTGTTGATTGCCATCGGTTTTCTGTTGCTTTCATTTTCCTTTGAGCTTCAGCCTTTGAGAATTATTTTTCATTCTTTTCACACCATACCCCAATCATTAAATACTTAAACCATTATCAGAAAGAACAGTAGGAGATTCTGGAAAATAACAAGGCTGGAAACTCCCCTTTTCAACCCATGAGCCCATCTTGAAAGAAAAGTGTGGGCCAAATTATGGTTATGTGTTCACGACTAATGCTCTGATGAGTGCAGAAGGGGACATAAGGGACATAAAGAGAAATTCCAATGGAAAGAGTCACAGTGATGATCACAGTGGCAAAGCAGGCAAATCCCTTCACAGGATGCCATCTGTTCTTCCCACCTACTCTATTAGGTGCACACTTAGTTAGCAAACCCTGTATCTGTGTTCCAGCTCAGTAAACCAAATTGAAGGGATGGATATATGCACATTATTTTAGCAACCCTGTATCTATCTTCGCGCTCATAAAATAAAATTGAAGGGATGAATATACTTTTCTGGATTTAGAAACTCCTCATATGACTCGAATGATTACTGTGAAAACATTAACTTAGCCTAGAGCTTCCAGTGCATTGTGCAGCTTGATTCTGCAAGTGTGAGAGGGCTGGCATGAAGCTAAGGTAATTTGTAAGTAGCTGTAGTTTCTATATTAATTATTAGCTTGAACTGAGCTCTGAAGTGGCTGCAATCTTGAATCTTGATGTTTTCTATATGCAGAATTTCATAGTGGGATATTAGATTATTAGTGTGAAGATACATCGACATTAAACCAGAACCCATTACCTGGTACTATTTGGACAAGATACCGTGGAGAAGAAGTCAGTTGTGAGTGGATCATGGAAATCAAAGAGGAAGGAACTTCAGAAGAAGGCCAGCATTTTCTTCCTACAGCTCAGATAACCGACCAAGAGGACACTCAGTTCACAAGTAAGTTTGTGTCCTACCTCCTGTAGGTCTCTGAAGAGCCAAACTGGGTTAACCAAACACATACCCCTGTGCATTCACAGAAACCTAGATTCCACCAAATAGCATGAGCTTACCCCATTGTTCCATTGTTTCCCCATTTCTGTCTGTGCCCTGGGCTGTGAGTGCATGCCATTCTTCTCAGCTTTTATCTTGGGTGAGACAGATGATAGACCAGCATGAACCACTATCCAATGATCAACTTTTCATACATGCATTTTTTCTTTTTTTGGTTTTTCGAGACAGGGTTTCTCTGTGTAGCTTTGGAGCCTATCCTGGCACTCATTCTGGAGACCACGCTGGCCTCGAACTCACAGAGATCCACCTGCTTCTACCTCCAGAATGCTGGAATTAAAGACGTGCACCACCAATGCCGGGCTCTCAAACATGTATTAAAGCACTGATAAATATATTTTATGGACCCTTTCCAGGCGTTAATAATTTTTAAGAATAGCTTCTATTTGGTATTTATTTATTTTTATGGAGAATCAATATTTTGGAAGCTAGACATTGTTAAGACCAAACGGTATGTAAGATGAGAGCATTAATGAAAAATGTTATGCAAAGTTTGCCTTGTGGGTCTACCAGATGGCAAGAATTCACATAACAGAAACAAAACAAAACATTCCATATTTGACTAAGATTAAAACCTGAACATTGAAATCATTTTTTGTGCTACTCACACAAAATTAAGAATACTGTTTCTCATGCTTAAAATTCTACGTTTTCAATTTGTCCCTTAGTTTAAACTGTGTCCTTTTCTTTTGCATGGTATTTTTACTATTTTTTAGCACTAGCAAATATATACCTAAGCTCATTAAATTTATATTTTAAAAATTGTGTGCAGAAAATGGTATTGGTTGGATGCATTGCCAATAAATTCGGTTGTCAAAGCTTAGATTAGAGTAAATTATTCGTATCTAAAAAAAACAAAGCTTGATTATTTACCAAGAACATACCTAATGATTCTAACATCTCTTGGACAATCTAACATTGCTAACTGAAGCATTTTAAATGTCAGCAGAGAGAAAAAAATAAATGGTAACTGTGTTAAAAAAAGAAAGTGCTAACTCTGTGAATAAAAAGGCATTACATTTTATTTTAAAAGGTGGCTTTAAAAATAATTATTGACCAAATGCCAGTTAATTTAAACCGTCTCTGAGGAATACACAAACACGGTGAGAGCTTTATATTTATTGTTAAGTGATATTATTTTCTGTGTTACTTTGGTTTCTTTGGCTACTTATGAGCTGTAACAAGTGGAATGTCATTCATTCACACCCTCACCCATGCTTGTTTGGGATGACTATTGACTATCTCTAATCTTCACGCATTCACCTCTCATAAGGGACTGCTATTGATTACGTGTGGTCTTCAATATCAGCTCTCACAACCCATTTCCTGCATCCTGATAGTGTAACTCCCTAACAGTTACCCACCACATTTCTGGGCCCTTGTTCTGAGACTCACTTTACCACTCCTACTTCATTTCATCACTTTATATGCTGTTTTCTTTTGGGAATACCACTGCAAAAAAGAATAGAGTTGTTGAAATAATAAGTAAGGGAAATAAGCAGTTCCATAACCAGGCCTGCCAGAATGAGGTTAGAGCCATCCCTGTTCGTAATGATTCCATAATTACAAGTCAGAGAGATTGAAAGAAAACCCACTTAAGAAAGTCCCTTGATGAGATGGGCTCTTTGGAAAACTCCCACTTCTATCTGCATACTTCCAAAGAAAATAGACAGAATTGGCAAACATGTTTTATAGCTGTCATTTGGGGGTTTTTCTGTGATGATGAAGTTATCTTTATTTCCATTGACTTTACTGAAAATACTTTGCCTTCACATGAGAATTCATAATGTCAAGCCTGATTATCTAACTTTATACATTCTGCCAAAAAAGTATGTGTATATCTGGGTATGTGAAATAGTGATATGCTATTATAGTATTGATAAAAAATAGTTTTAAAAGCTAAAATTATCTCAGCAGTCTGAAGTTGGGCCCCAGGCAGGTACACACTCACTCATATATGGATTTTAGACACAGAGCAAAGGATTATCATCCTACAATCCACACAGCCAGAGAAGCTAGGAAACAAAGAGGACCCTAAGAGAGACATGCATGATCCCCAGGAGAAGAGGAAAGGGACAAGATCTCTGAGCCAATTGGGAGCATGGGGGGAGGGGAGAGGGAGCTAGAGGAAAGAGAAGGGGAGAAGAGGAGGGGAGAGGAGGACATGAGGGAGCAGGAAGATTTACTCAAGGAAAGAATAGAGGAGACCAAGAAAAGAGATACCATAATAGGGGGAGCCATTATAGGTTTAAAGAGAAATCAGGAACTAGGGAAATGTTCAGAGATCTACAAGGATGACAACAACTAATAATCTAAGGAACAGTGGAGAGGCTACCTTAAATGCCCTCCCCTGATAATGAGATCGATGACTGACTTATATGACATCCTAGAGCCTTCATCCAACAGCTGGTAGAAGTAGAAGCAGACACCCACAGCTAACTAGGGAAATGTTCAGAGATCTACAAGGATGACAACAACTAATAATCTAAGGAACAGTGGAGAGGCTACCTTAAATGCCCTCCCCTGATAATGAGATCGATGACTGACTTATATGACATCCTAGAGCCTTCATCCAACAGCTGGTAGAAGTAGAAGCAGACACCCACAGCTAAATACTGAACTGAACTGGAGTCCAATTGCAGAGAGGGAGGAGTGATGAGCAAAGGGGTCAAGATCAGGCTAGTGACACACATAGAAACAGCTGACCTGAACAAGGGGGAGCTCATGGTCCCCAGACTGATAGCTGGGATCCAGCATAGGAGTGATCCAGACCCCATGAATGTGGGTGTCAGTGAGGAGGCCTCAGAAATCTATGGGGCCTCTTATAGTGGATCAGTACTTATCCCTAGCATAGGAATAGACTTTGGGAAGCCATCCACATAGAGGGATACTCCCTCAGCCTAGACACATGGGAGAAGGTCTAGGCCCTATCCCAAAGGATATGACAGACTCTGAGGATCCCCCATGGAAGGTCTCACCTTCCCTGGGGAGCAGAAAAGGTGTGGGGATTGGTAGGGTGTTAATGGGAGACAGGGGAGGAGGGGAGGGAGAGGGAACTGGGATTGACATGTAAAACAATCTTGTTTCTAATTTAAATAAAAATGGAAACAATAGATATTTAATCATATGATATAGTTATCTGATTGGTAAACAGGATGTTCTCTCATTCAGGCACTAGATATGTTTCCATACAAAGTCATACACTATTTTAATACTAACTTAATTAAGGGAGCTAAGAGCTGTCTTCTGTGATATTGTGTCAGTGAATTAGGTATGTCTTAAGATTATAAATCTGTGTGTTTTATTGACTGCATTATATTGGGGAACATTTTACATTTTAGTGCCATGATGACATTTCATTTGAAGTATAATCCTTATTTTTATCAAAATAAGAAATAGCAACATGGGACTGATCCAGACTCCCTGAACATGGGTGTCAGTGAGGAGGCCTTGGTAATCTATGGGGCCTAGGACAGTAGATCAGTATTTATCCCTGTCATACGAATGGACTTTGGGAGCTCATTCCACATGGAGGGATGCTATCTCAGCCTGGACACATGGGGGAGGACCTAGGCCCTGCCACAGATGATATGACAGATTTTTGGGGATCCCCATGGAGGGGCTCACCTTCCTTGGAGGTCCGAAAGTGGGATGGAGTGTGAGAGGAGGGAAAGGAGAGGGAGCTGGAATTGACATGTGAATCTGTCTTGTTTCTAATATAAATAAAAATAATTGTTTTAAAAAAGCTAAAATTATCCCTACTCTTTATAGGCATCCAGAAGATTCCCAATGAGCCACAGTTGGAATTCATCCTTGGTAAGGAATTCTACCTTATTTATAGCAATCAGTAGAATGAGTATTTGTGCAGGACTTTGCAAATTATAGGTGTATTATATATAATTACATATTACATTTATAAACATTGCTCTATTAAAAAATCTTCCCATAAGATAGTAATACAACCTTTTTCAAACTTTTATTAGTAAACAAAAATATGGGCTGCACATAGATCCATTTGGTGCCATACTAGCTAAGGCTTTATTATAAACTAAACTTTTTAGATTAACACATACACACATTCAAATTGGTATCCAAAGATGAGATATATTTTACATGTCAATAAAGATATATTGTGAAGTTTGGGGGACAGATTTAAAAATATAGATATACTAAGCTTGGTCTTAGTGATTTGAAGTCTCAATTATTTTAGGCACACACTTCCACTAATTATATAGTATATTTGTATCCTTTGTTCAACCCCTTTTGAAGTATAGCTTATTGATATAATAATTGTATACAATTAATATTTTGAGAACCTTGTTTTGTTACATCTTGTTAAAAGGGTACAACAACCAAACATTCTGGATTGGAATTTCCTAGGTATTGAGAAACAGGCAAAGTTGTGAAAAGGCAATAAATATTCATAGCAAAACATATACAGCTGTACCTTACTTGATTGAGTTTTGAAATGGTTTGGGGCATAGAAAGAAGCCGGTTTCAGAAAGCAAGCTGAGATGTGGAAGGAGACGAGGGCACCCTCTACACTAATGAGAACCTGCAGCTTCTTAGGCTCCTGTCTATCTTCCAGTGGAAACTTATTTAAAAGAAAATAAAATCCTTTCTAGGCTCTCTGGGAAGAAAAGAGTAGTTAGAGCTGTATTTCAAAGTACAAACAAAGCCCCCTTTTATTACCTGTGTGAGAAAAGGGGATGTGAAGGAGACATGGAAACCAGTTTGCAATAGACAGTTTATATGAACAGATATCCCAGCATAGGAGTGATCCAGACCCCATGAATGTGGGTGTCAGTGAGGAGGCCTCGAAATCTATGGGACCTCTTGTAGAAGATCAGTACTGATCCCTAGCATAGGAATGGACTTTGGGAGCCCATTCTACATAGAAGGATACTCCCTCAGCCTAAACACAAGGGGGTGGGCCTAAGCCCTATCTCAAGGATATGACTCTTCTCACCTTCCCTGGGGAGCAGAAAAGGTGTGGGGATTGGTAGGGTGTTAATGGGAGACAGGGGAGGAGGGGAGGGAGAGGGAACTGGGATTGACATGTAAAACAATCTTGTTTCTAATTTAAATAAAAATGGAAACAATAGATATTTAATCATATGATATAGTTATCTGATTGGTAAACAGGATGTTCTCTCATTCAGGCACTAGATATGTTTCCATACAAAGTCATACACTATTTTAATACTAACTTAATTAAGGGAGCTAAGAGCTGTCTTCTGTGATATTGTGTCAGTGAATTAGGTATGTCTTAAGATTATAAATCTGTGTGTTTTATTGACTGCATTATATTGGGGAACATTTTACATTTTAGTGCCATGATGACATTTCATTTGAAGTATAATCCTTATTTTTATCAAAATAAGAAATAGCAACATGGGACTGATCCAGACTCCCTGAACATGGGTGTCAGTGAGGAGGCCTTGGTAATCTATGGGGCCTAGGACAGTAGATCAGTATTTATCCCTGTCATACGAATGGACTTTGGGAGCTCATTCCACATGGAGGGATGCTATCTCAGCCTGGACACATGGGGGAGGACCTAGGCCCTGCCACAGATGATATGACAGATTTTTGGGGATCCCCATGGAGGGGCTCACCTTCCTTGGAGGTCCGAAAGTGGGATGGAGTGTGAGAGGAGGGAAAGGAGAGGGAGCTGGAATTGACATGTGAATCTGTCTTGTTTCTAATATAAATAAAAATAATTGTTTTAAAAAAGCTAAAATTATCCCTACTCTTTATAGGCATCCAGAAGATTCCCAATGAGCCACAGTTGGAATTCATCCTTGGTAAGGAATTCTACCTTATTTATAGCAATCAGTAGAATGAGTATTTGTGCAGGACTTTGCAAATTATAGGTGTATTATATATAATTACATATTACATTTATAAACATTGCTCTATTAAAAAATCTTCCCATAAGATAGTAATACAACCTTTTTCAAACTTTTATTAGTAAACAAAAATATGGGCTGCACATAGATCCATTTGGTGCCATACTAGCTAAGGCTTTATTATAAACTAAACTTTTTAGATTAACACATACACACATTCAAATTGGTATCCAAAGATGAGATATATTTTACATGTCAATAAAGATATATTGTGAAGTTTGGGGGACAGATTTAAAAATATAGATATACTAAGCTTGGTCTTAGTGATTTGAAGTCTCAATTATTTTAGGCACACACTTCCACTAATTATATAGTATATTTGTATCCTTTGTTCAACCCCTTTTGAAGTATAGCTTATTGATATAATAATTGTATACAATTAATATTTTGAGAACCTTGTTTTGTTACATCTTGTTAAAAGGGTACAACAACCAAACATTCTGGATTGGAATTTCCTAGGTATTGAGAAACAGGCAAAGTTGTGAAAAGGCAATAAATATTCATAGCAAAACATATACAGCTGTACCTTACTTGATTGAGTTTTGAAATGGTTTGGGGCATAGAAAGAAGCCGGTTTCAGAAAGCAAGCTGAGATGTGGAAGGAGACGAGGGCACCCTCTACACTAATGAGAACCTGCAGCTTCTTAGGCTCCTGTCTATCTTCCAGTGGAAACTTATTTAAAAGAAAATAAAATCCTTTCTAGGCTCTCTGGGAAGAAAAGAGTAGTTAGAGCTGTATTTCAAAGTACAAACAAAGCCCCCTTTTATTACCTGTGTGAGAAAAGGGGATGTGAAGGAGACATGGAAACCAGTTTGCAATAGACAGTTTATATGAACAGATATCTGCTTTTGATTCCAATTAAAATGAATGGTTTTGATCAAAGCCAACTGTGCTGTTTAGTATAAGAAGCCCATTTCAGTAGCAAATCTGTCAAGTACAGTGGCAACGCTGTGGTCTCTATTTCAGGCTTTGAAACATAAATGGAAGAGGTCACAGCATTAAAGTCCATTCATAATAATGTCCTGGATCAAATTTAAGTAATGTCCATTCTCTTTTTTCTTATACTTATTAAAAACACAGTAAAATTTCTAAAGGTAGACAATTTTATTTTATCAAATAACAAGATATGCTCAATAACAGAACCCACATTTACCAAAGGCGGTCAGTCTAGAGGGAATTGGAGATTTAGAAGATGTATGTTACAAACTGTCAGCTTCATAGCATGCAAAGATCCATAGCTTGCTCATTTCCTACAGAGCTTTTTCTAACTGTCTCATCAAGGACACCATCAACAAACTCTTGTCTGTAGGTTTCAGTGGATTATTCTGTTCATTTCCCCCCTTGGAAGTTTTTCTTTTAATTCCAAAAGTTCTTTGACTCTAAATATTTATATCAACTTTTCATTTCATAATGGATGAGATAAAAATAACTCTCTAAGTGTATCCATCACTATTTAAGGAGATACATAGTTACTTAATCAAAACAAATAAAGAACAATTTCTAGAAAAAGTATAACAAGAGAGACCTTCTCCTCTATTCAAGTATATAGATGTTTGACTCACTACCCTTTCCTGAAATGTTCAAATAACTTGGAAATTTCAACAGCTTTGCTTTATAAAATAGGGGAAATGTCACACTTATTATTTAAACAGGTAATGTGTTGCTTTGAATATGTTATTTTATGTGACGACTGGTTTCTCAGTGATCTCTGTGAAGATCATTTTGTCTTGCTGGAATTTCCCTGCTCCATCTTTATTCAAGTAAATGAGGTAGGAGATGCTTAGTCAATTGAGCAAGCTAATTGGCTAAAGACATCTTGATAGAGCTAGATAGGCATGCTCAGAGAAAGCACTCGGTCCTCCACTAACCACATTTCTAATGGGTGACTGCAGCTAAATGAAGTAATTTATTCTTACATCTTGAAGTCTGAACCCATATTTGTTTCCTTATCTTTCCAAATGTACTGCAGTTCTTTATTTTCACACAGAAAAAATCATTAAAATTCCAAGAGAATGTTGGTTGGTTTCCAGTTTAATAAGATTGCTTTCATTTAAGCAAAGCTAACACTAAAATGAAGGGACATTTCTTAAAATTTGAGTACATGTTCTTCTTGAAATCATAATGGAAATGGCATAGAGAACATCAATAGTGGAAAATGTGTAAAAGAAATGTTTGTAAACTGTTTAATTTTATTCCTCAACTATGCTTAAACTGTTGATTGCCACTCATCTTTATTATCTCAAGTCAATAAATTGCTTATTAAAATTTCTATTTTATTATTGGGCATGATGGCATATGCCTTCATGCCTTAGCATAGGAGGAAGGGACAGGAAGATCTCTATGAGTTTGAAGTCAGAATGGTCTATAGAATGAGTTCCTGCCCAGCCAAGGAACATTTCTGAGACTCTGTCTAAAGAAAAATAGGCTGGGTAGAGAGATGGTTTGGGGTGTTAAATGTACGGCTGCTCTTACAAAAGACCTGGGATTCAGTTCCAAACAACCACATAGCAACAAACAACCTCTATAGCTCCAGTTCCAGAGGATCAGTTACTGTCTTCTGGCCTTTGCAGGCACTAAATGAGCACAGTGTATAGATATACACAGATTATATGCACATATGCATAAAAATAAAAGTAAATGAAGTTTTAAGAAAGTACATTTCTGTTCATGTGCTAATGACCTATATTATAATTTAAATCAATAGGTAGCTATTCCTGGAAATGCATAGAGGAGAATGGCATGTGCATTTTTCACATGACCTTTGAATTCTTTGTTTGACACTATAAAGTCATGTCCATGGACATGACTCAATGTCGGATTTTCGATGGTAGTCAATTGAACAGAAACAAGACACAAAAAGCAATGCATATGTTATCAGCAAGCTTCTGTTATGATAGGATGAA